TCTATGAAGGAGTAAGATTATGTGTTGCAGAGTGACATTGGTATTCCCGCCAGGAAGGGTTCTTTTGTCTCCAGATATCAGAAAGATTTAACATGAATGAAATGTTATATTACCTTCCTACTTGCGTATGATCATTTATGGTGTTGGACTGAGAGTACAGTTAAAGTCTCCTGCCATACAAATGTGACCATGCAGTGTTGATAAAGTCAGAAACAGGTCTCTCTGGGCATCATCGTTGTTAGGACCATAGACACACTGAAGTAAAATCTTTAATAAAGAGCCCTGGGCAATAAAAAATCTGCCTGCAGTACTCGTAATGGATCAGATGTGTGGATGAGCATTGCCGCGCCTCTTGGTTGGGAGCAGAATGAGGCAGGTATGACCTGACCTGGCCGCCTCCTTTAAAGGGGATGTGTTCCCCGGGAAGCAAATGTGTTTCTTGAATAAAAGCTATCTGTGTTTTAGATGCTTTGACTGCATGGACAGGTCCTGTAGAGACATTCTCTCAACCAGCTACTGTCCATGGTGGACATATGCACATTTCACATCTGGGTATTTATGTTGAAGTATTTCTGTATTTTTTTCCGTTTCAAATAGGGCAATCACACATAGATAAGAAGAAGAAGAAGAGGAAACGGCCACTGTCAATGTGATGAAATCACACTGTCACAGTCCAGAAAAAGTAGACGTTATTTGTCTGACCTCTGGCGGATGAACACTTAGAGTTGATGGGAAATGTTCAAATGCAATAGAAAGATTTAACAGACAGAAGTTTCCACATGTGTGTGAGAGAGGCCTTCATGTTCTGCAGAAGATCCATCTATTTAATTTGTCTCCTGCCTCCACCGAAATTTACAGCATAATACAGCAGTAGGAATAAATGTATCTATCACAAGCTTTGTGAAGTAAGGAAACCCTGATGACGTCAAGTAGGATGAAAATGAACACTAAGTCTTTACAATAATGGTCATTGGAGCTTGGATGTCGAGGGAGGGACGAGGTCAATGAGGTTGAAAACATTATTGACTTACATTTTGGGAAAAGGGGTTTTGATGCTTTACAGTGTACACAACACGCTCCAGTTACTTCTCCGTGGCTTTGCCCCGCTCCTCATGGTCTTCTTCAGCGGAGTTTGGTCACATGACCTAAGTATGGAACATAACAATTTGCATATTCACATACGACTGAGCAAGCCGTCTCAGCTGAAGAAGACGGTGAGGCGCAGTTGAAAGTGTGTTTGCTTCTCTTTCTCTTGAATCACATTCAATCGATCACAGCTCAGCCCTGCAGTTGGAGGAGAAAAAAGAAAAATAATAAACCCTGAAATAATAGCTTAAACTGAAGTATTACTTTAATACTTCAATAGCAGGAACCTGGTTCCAACGTTTTTGAAAGGAGCATGCTGCGTAGCCCGAGGCGGCGCTGTAATGTGTGAGTGAGAGTATATGGGCTGTCGCTTCAGATTAGAGAGCAGCCTCGGTGTGCCTTTGACGGAGAGTCAGCGGGTAATAGAAGGTGGAAGGGATTACACTTCATAAAAATCACATATGAATGGACATGGCCAACAATGAAAGATGTCATTTTCTGCATTGGCTTGTTTTACCACCAATTGGGCCTGAATTACATTGTGTGGAGTGTGTGTATGCATGCGTGCATGTGTGTGTGTGTGTGTGTGAGAGAGAGAGTGTGTGAGAGAGAGTGTGTGGTATTCAGAGGGTTCAGAAGTTTTTCTGTTTGCATTGTACATTTCAAGTAACTGAATCATAAAACTCCATCTGCTAATTTTGAGATTATGATCGTTAAAAATGTACCACCTTTAAACAATATTCTACCTTTCTGTAACAAAACACCACTAATTAGCGGCAACGACACCATCACCATAAACAACTAAAGTCAGTTAGAGAAGCTGTGTGATGGACCAATATTTAAAATGACCTCTCATCTTATAGGAGGACAAGAGCCTAGAAGACGTTCAATACAAAGAGTAAAACATGTGAAATAAATACAGTAGATTGTAATTCCTATAGACTCTCACACTCAACCACAGTTCCTGGGGTTTCAGAGCTCACTATTCTGGGGGAAACTGGGACAGGGCTCAACACTCAACACAGTGTCAGGTGGCTGCAGTCTGCAACGTCACCACTAGCTGCCGCCAAATCCAACACACTGGCCCTTTAAGTCATACAAGGCATTCTTTGGATATTTCTTTTCTGTGCTACGGGATTTAGGTGATTACTAGGGGTGTAACGATTCATTTTAACAACGATTCAATTCGAATCATGATTCATGGTTGCCGATTTGATTCATGGACGATCTGGGTTAATTTAGAACGATTTGATTCAGTGACTTAAAATCGATTCAGTAACTTAACTGGACAGTGCAGGCAAAGTTTCCGAGATCCCTGTTGTTTCTTGTAAGGAAATCAGGTTTAAATTAATTATGGATATTATAAACAAGCAAACAACAATTAATGGCAAATGTATTAACCTTTTATTTGAATCAAGTGCCATTTTCAATGAAAACATTACACAATAATTACACAATGTTTGTATCAATTCACAGAACCCCGGATATTCAACCACATTGTAGGGTCGCATGTCGTTACAGATAAACTTGGCAATTGTTACTGTGATGTTGAGTTTGGTGCTGGCGAGGCCTGAGGAGTCTGCAGAGCTGGAGTTACCTTCTGCTGCTGCTGCAGCGGTGACGCTGCTAGAGGTGCCTAACTGTCGGCGTTGTTTAATCCCACGGCGCCTTAGTAGACGGCCGGAAAGATTCGTCGTGTTTCCGTGGTTTTTATTTGGTTTCTACATATTCTACAAACAGCGAGCGACTTATTTAGAACACCTCCGTGTTTGTAAAAGCCAAAATGATTCCACACGCTGGATCGATAAGTTGGTTTGTAAATGTCTTGCTCGCAGTCGTCTCCTCCACGCTGTGTTTTGTTGTTGTTCAGAGTTTCGCACGGCTGCCGCTGCGTGCTGATGACGTCACAGACAATGTACCATTTCAATCGATTTGTAATCGATATACCAATTATAAACCGATATGCGGAGCACAGATCGATTCAGTTGGATCGCAGGAATATAAATCGATTAATCATTTCAGTGATTCATTCACTGAATTGATTAATCGATTTATATTCACTGAATCGATTAATCATTTCAGTGATTCATTCACTGAATTGATTAATCGATTTATATTCCTGCGATCCGATTAATCGATTAATCGATTCAGTGAATGAATTGTTACACCCCTAGTGATTATGATTTACAAAATGAATATGTCTTCCTATTGAAAAAAGACCAATGAATATGGAGTGAGTTGAACAGTAATAACCATGCAGCAAGAAAGAGACAAAATGCTAGATATAGTTATTCATCAGGAAACATAGTGCCACGCTGCATCAAAAAGTGTTTAGTTTGTATTGTCAAGTTAAAGGGGGGTGCAATGAAAAACGCTTCCTGAAATCTCTGGACCTCAGACACACACGCGCATTTACACTATGTGACTAATTTGATAGTAGCCTTTATTTAAATATGTTGTACTGTAACATAATTACTTGTCACAGTTATTTCTTCATGATACAAGTTTTCTGAAATGTTGTGTTTGTTAAATGTTCTATTTATTTACATTTCCAACAGAAGTTGGAATATTGGATGAAAATTTTTTTTAAAGTTGGCTTGTTGATGTGTTATAGTCACCATAGGGGGTTTTGGGGAAATGTCTTTGTATGACTCATTAATCAGAAAGTACTGATGACAGCTATTAAAAGAATCCCTTGTATGATATATGAACCAACTCCTCTGTGATAACCTTTAGAATACAGATACAGGAACCATAAGTTTGAGTTATGTAAGAGCTACTCAAGTGGAACGATTTCTGACTGAGAGTCTGAGAAAAAACTTTTCCGAAATCTTGTCCTTTACAAATAGAAACGGATCTCAGGACGTTTGGTTAAATATTAGCAATTTCTACAGTTGCAAAAATAAGGAGAAAAATAAACACCTCCATGTGTATTGTGGATTATTTTATCTTTTCTTTTCCACTCATCTGAAGAACACAAACACAAAAAGTAGCCCAAAATTGCAAAATTGTGTTGCATGAGAACAATGTTTTTGCCTAAAAAATAAACATGCAAATAAATGGTAAATTATTACTTTAGTGTACATTTTTCAACTGCTTTATATTCCAGAGGCATTTCTTTCATATAAATAGTGACCGTGTAGTGTTTATCTTATACTACACACCTGTGCACACTCAAATATCACCATGAGAATTGTGAAAATGTGGGGCCGAAAAGTGTTACTCATTTCGGGTTTTTAGTCACGCACTTCCGCCTCTCGCATTTCTCACACTGAAAAAAGCAGCGTGTCCAAAAAAATTGGACTTTGGTCCAAGCCGCGTTGGTTCCTCTTCAGCCTTCCCGACTGTACCGAGCGTCTCCCCCCTGAAGGTTTGAAAAGGCAGCTCTGCTGTCAGTCTGGATGGGGTGGAAATAAGTGGACTTTGCCCACGTGTTGGCTAATGATTGTACAGTAGTTAAATGAGAAATGAGCGGGAGGGGGAATGTGTTGTTCTGGCCAAGACGTTAAACTTGATGAGAGTGAGTTACCTGTTGTTTAGGCATATGGCCAACAGCCTGTTTCCCTGTTCCTAAACAAATGCCTTTACATATCAAACATATTTGTCCTTGTGTGAAACTATTTTAGTATAAAATTAAATTAATTAAATTAAATTCAAAGACTATAAAGGTACTCTATTTAGCTGATTAAACTATACTCCGAATATTTAAAATTGTGCAAATAACACAATACGTTATTTTGCCCCTTATGTTTTGTTTATAATGCCGGGATTGGTCAATTATTACAAAATGTCTTCCAAACAGAAGTAGCGGCAAACCGGTCGAACATGTGCTGGGGTTTTTACGAGCAGCACCTGAAGGCAGCATCACGCAAAGGCTTCAATCATCGGCCACGGTTGGTCACCTGACCCAAACTCCACGTCACGTGACTGACATTTCATCCTCGCCATTTTGCAATGTGGGAGAAAGAGAGAAAATCCACTTTTTTATTGCTAACAAATAAAACAAAGCCGGTTTTATGTGTTGAGGACAAAGAGCGTCGAGCCTTTCCGTGTCAGTGAGTACGTCTTCGTTCAAACTGCAACCACGAGCTTCTCCGTCACACATTAACCAAAACCATAATTAAAACGCCCTTGTACCTTCATGTGTGGATAACTGCTAGCGCCGTGCGGGACTCGTGTGTACGTGGACGAGCATGCGTGTACGTGCGGCGACCTAACAGCGCTGCCTTTAACTCAAATGTCATTGAACGCCTCTTTTAATGTCGGCTAACGCTAGCTGTGCGCCGTCTGCTGTGTTCTATTTCGCTCTAGTGAAAAAAGCGGACGAAATATTTTTAGACCCCGACCTAACAGGTGCTTCTCCGGGGCTGGTGAAGGCGCCGAGAGGCCACGCTGTCCGCGCGCCGGGCTCTTATCTGGGCTCCCGAACTGATCGGATGTCCGTCGCTCGATACGGCTATTTCCCGACGAGCGCGGCCGTTATTCTGCGCCGGCTTTATTCCCGCATCCAGCCCCGCTGACACCACGCCAGCCCCCCCGTGGCTTCACTGCACAGTCATCAAACATGTGTATCTTGCTACTACGACTACTACGTTGCTTTCGTGTCGTCGCGCACAGAAGCGGAAGTAGGAAAAAGAGGAAGGCGGTTTGTGGCCAGAAAGAGGAAAGTTCTGGAAATGCAGAGAGAAAATATTAAGTAATTGAACCGCAAGAGTTGTGATCACTTCCCTCTCGCTTGGTTTGTAAACACATGCACACGGGGAGGTCGTTTGACAGAGCTGATCACTATCGAACAGCATTGATATTTGTGTTTCCTCCCGCTTCTTCTGCATAGACACCTGCTCACTTAAAGAAGTGGCATTATGGTCCAACACATGTTGGTAGTTTGTCCTCTCTTTGGTAATCTAACGGATAGAACTCACAATTTCTTCTTCTCGCATTGCAATTCCGATTGCTAAATTCTCGATTTTGAGCACTTACTCTAAATTACTTAAAGTAAACTAAATGCAGAGCTAACATAACACTTCCCTCACTACACACATATATCAGCATGAGTTTCCGTGCTGATTTCTGAGCTTTTCTAAGCACATTTCTTTGCAATATTTTCTCCATATCTTTAAAAAAATGAAGTTGTTTAGCTGTACAGCAACATACGTGCTATTTGCTACACATGTACAGTTTGTGATGTAATGGAAGTATATTGAAACAAACGTGCAGTTCCATGCGTGGCAAACAACATCACGAGCTCTCTGGACGGGTCTAAGGAGGGACATTTAAACATATCTTTATTTATATTAATAATCAGGGCCCATACCTGTTTAAATCTAAGGTACTATCAGGCACCAACCCCTTTCCCTTTCTCCCCTGCCGTCTGCCAGGTCATGGAGGAGGCCAGCAATGTACTCCTCTCACACTCCTCCACCGCCTCTTCGGCTTCCTCCGCCCCGTCAGCACGGGACGCCTCCCAGACCTTTCAGCAGAAACACGCTGCAGACTCGCTCATACAGGTGATCGAAAAGCTCAGCAAAATCGTGGAGAAGCGGCCGCAGCGCCGCTGCACTTTGGCGGCACAGAAAAGACCCCCTCCTAGAGGTGAGGAGGACGGGCCGAGGGGGAGCAGAGGAGGCTCCCCTTTTAGGAAAACTAAGAGGAACTGTAAGGAGGAGGAGGTGCGATTAGATGGTGGCGCAGCTCTTTCCCCGCCCGGGGACAGCAGCAGCAGCAACAACAACAACCACAACAACATCTCCTCCACGGCGACGGATTCAGCCGGCGAGGCCGACGGCAGCCACAGGCGGATGGTGACCTGCTATCAGTGCAGCCTGTGTCCGTACCTCTCGCAGACGCTGCCCCTGCTGAAAGAGCACCTAAAGCATCACAACGAGCAGCACAGCGACCTCATCCTCATGTGCTCCGAATGCCGCTTCACCTCCCGGGACCAGGACCAGCTGGAGGCCCACGTCAGGCTGCACATCGACACCGTTAAGGAGGAATGCGAATGGAGCGGCGGCGTCGGCGGCGTGGATGGCGTCGTGGCCATCGAGGCGGTCGAAAGCTCTCCGGACGGCTCCCGGGAGCTGCCGCAGAAGAAGAAGTGGTACAGCTACGAGGAGTACGGCCTGTACCGCTGCCTGATCTGCAGCTACGTGTGCAGCCAGCAGCGGATGCTCAAGACCCACGCCTGGAAGCACGCCGGCCTGGTCGACTGCTGCTACCCCATCTTCGAGGATGAAGACGGGGCGTCCGCGAGGAGGGGGGCTCCGACTGCAGCCAACGCACCGGCAACCAGGGAGGAAATAGTCGTTCTCTCCCCGGTCCTTCAAGATAAGAAGCTGCCCCCCGGCTTCAAGCTCCAGCTCTGCGTGCCGATGGACGCCGAGGGCAGACGGGACGGGCTGAATCATCCCGCTTCTGGTCCCATCGTAACTCCGAAGACGGAGGAGGAAAGCGCGTACCCCATCAAAGACCTGACCTCCGAGGAGACGGTGGTCGAGGTGCAGGTGACCACGGAGGCGGAGTCCGAAGTGGAGAGCGACGGCACCTCCGTGGCGGACAGCTTGCTGTCGTCGGCTCAGAAGATCATCAACAGCGGCCCCAACAGCGCCGGCCACATCAACGTGATCGTGGAGCGCCTCCCCTCGGCCGAGGACTCTGTCATGGCGACGAACCCGCTTCTCCTCAGCCCAGACCTGGACAGGGACAAGAACAAGAGCTTAACAAAGGAGGAAGGGCAGGGGGCCGCCGAGGGGGAGGTGCCCCCCGGCGGACATCTTTTAGAAGCTGGCGTTACACCCGCTGTGGGTAGCGATTCTCCGCGGGACGAGAACGTTCCCCCCGCGGTTCGCAAGCGGACACACTCCGAGTCCCTGCGCCTGCACTCCCTGGCGGCGGAGGTCCTGGTCGCTATGCCCATGAGGACCCCCGAGCTCCTCACCGCCGGCTCCAGGGGGAGTCTGAGGAGCGTCACAGCCCAGGCACAGAGCCCCAACTCGGGCTTCAAACCCGCCGAGAGGACCTCAGACGCAGAGACAACCGCAGCTCTGCGTGACCTGGAGCTTCACGGCGGGGGCAGAGAGGAGGAGTTGGGGTCCCTGTGCCTCGGGGAGGGCGACGAGGAGGGCCCCGCCGCCAAAGCCGGCATCAGCCTGTCGCTGCTCACCGTCATCGAGAAGCTCCGCGAGCGCTCGGACCAGAACGCATCCGATGAGGACATCTTGAAAGAGCTCCAGGACAACGCGCAGTTTCACAAGGGCGGCGTGGTCGTGGGCGGCGGAGCCGGGGGCTACGCGCGCGGCCTCCCCCCGGGGATGGACGGGCTGGTTGCATCCGCCGACGGCGGCCTGGTGGACTTCATCCCAGGCAGCGAGCGGCCGTACCGCTGCCGCCTGTGCCACTACAGCAGCGGCAACAAGGGCTACATCAAGCAGCACCTGCGGGTGCACAGGGAGCGGAAGCCGTACCAGTGTCCCATCTGCGAGCACATCGCCTCCGACAGCCAGGACCTGGAGAGCCACATGATGCACCACTGCAAGACCCGGATGTACCAGTGCAAGCAGTGCCCGGGCGCCTTCCACTACAAGGTGAGGACCCGCCCACAATGCAGGCGTCCAGTGCCGCCATGTTACCTTCCATCTACCATCCACGGACCACCTTGTTTAGGTTTATGTAGCTTTTCCCCGTTTCAGAGCTACACAGCATTACGTTTCCTGGGAAATGCATGAACGGTCAGTCCACCACTTTTGGTTCCTTTTGCCCCCGCGGTGTAAAATTGGACAATTTTGGTCACGTCCTCAAAAAAAGAACATTGCACAATAGTTTCTTTCAGAGTTCAAATGCCAAATCTTGTCTGGTTGCGGCTTCACAAATTGAGAATGTGCTGCTGGCTTCTTTTCTCTTGATTCGTTCGTAAACTGAATAGAGAATTAGGCTTTGAACTGAATGAGAAAAGTTTGAATCGACGCACGCCGTTAAAATATACTCAACATGCATTTACCACACTTCATCGGTGGTTTCAATAACTCTTTCTGTCCGTCCTGCCAACGTTTTACGATGGGCTATTTAGATGATATTTTGCAAAGAATACGACACAGCAGCTTTAGGATGGGTTTTAATAGGGACGAGCAGTGAGACATGAGCTGCAGCGTCTATCGTTGAAAGTGGAAGAAAGATCAATTGGGATGCTGAAATGCCTGCTGCATTTGCTGGAAAGAGACGAGGGGATCGTTCATATATTAATAATCTCCCAGAAATGCCTGTCTGCCTCCACGCTGTGAAGAACGGGTCCTCCAGACCTGGTTTAGATGCACGATTGGACCACAACACCCAGGTTACCACCGTCAGGAGCACCACCTCAGCAGAAAGCTCAGACAGCAAAACAGACGTGGCTGAATAGTATTCATACCGCCACACAAGATTTCTCCCCTCTGTGCCATGCTTTCAATAAAGGACAGTACGTTCTCATATTTTTGTCAGTAGCTACATATTTACTGTGCATTAATGTTTTTTTCCTATTACACAAAGCCAACCCTTCTGCAACCTACTTTATTATTTCACAAAATGCGAACTGCATCCAGTGTCCTTATAGCGCGTGTGTGCATGTGTGTTTTAGAGTCAGTTAAGGAGTCATGAAAGGGAGCAGCACAGCCTCAGCGTGGACATCGCGGCCCTCACGCCGGTCACTGAGACCGCGGCCGTGGCGGAGGAAGCGGAGCAGGTGACGGATGAAGGTACGGCTTGCTTTTACGTCTTCCATGTTTGAGGATGGGAAGAGAGAGAGTTTCTCTCTTTGTCCGCCGCACTTCCCTCTCGCCACATGCTGCCTTTTGGTTTCCCTCAGTGTATTTAGACCACTCCAGATGTGTTTACTTTGTGCTCGGCTACAGAATGCAGTTTACAGAAGATGTATAAGTGCGACGTGTGCGACTACACCAGCTCTACGTATGTCGGAGTGAGGAACCACCGCCGGATTCATAACTCCGACAAGCCTTATCGGTGAGTTGAATGCACTACGATCACCTAAATACAATGAGGGGGGGGGGGGTGTTGATTAGTATTGGCTCGGGCGGGGCTTCATCACGTGTATCAGCCACTAAAAGCATTTGTGCGTGAGACTGCTGCAGGGCTCACACGAACCCACCAATGGAGGAACTCTTACATGGACATTTTTCTATTTAAATCTTTTTAAATGTTTGACTGAGATTCTGATAAAAAGTGCCCTTAGTGCTGGGCAACTTCACCTCACTCTGCTACTGAACATAGAAACAATCATTTAGAACATTAGCTTTGTTCTCTTTATGGAATGTATGTGTTAAAATCTCTTTATTTAAATGTATGTTTGAACATGTATATGTTCATTATTTGAGTTGCCTTAACAGAACGCTAGATTCACAGCAAGACATATTAATTCATATTATTAATTCATATTCTTGTTTTTTCATTTTTTTAATTCTAATATGAAAGAATATTAATATATATTATTAAACGTTGGATTAAATCCGTGGAAGAAAAAGATGACCAGTTGAGTATGATTGTTGCCCTGTGGGGACGTCAGTGGTGTGTGAATGTTTTGCATGTTGCATTTCCAGGTTTCAAGTACCGGTTCACACACAGGAAGCTCACATAGAAGTTATCAAACAACAAGCCTTTCCGACCTGAGCTGTCAGTCTTAGAAAGGACCACTAGGTGGCAGTACATGGCCGGTGATGCTCAGTGATCTTCACCATGTCTCACACACACACACACACACACACACACACACACACACACACACACAACTTGCTGTTGTTAGTTAATGCCGAGCTGACTGAGGTAAGAACACATGTGGGTGTGGAAGCCGCGCTTCCTAAACAGTGTCATACTCTAAGGTCAAATATGCTTCCAACACCACAGACACACACACACACACACACACACACACACACACACTACCAACAAGATTCCACCCTGCTTTGATAAGGTCAGACGGCATCTAATTGCTGTTTCTAACCAGAGGGGTGAGCCGTCCTGTAAGCCAATGGAACGAGAGCAAAATAGGAGCTTGGTAATATCCGGATATGAAATGGGTGAAACCAAGAGAACATTCCAACTCGGGCAATAAAGAAAGTTGCGGTCTGATTTATTATAAGTTCATTAAGCGGGGACGGAGCTGGCTGTGGGTTGGTTAAAAGTTGGCGTAAAGGCGCATTCCACGCCAGCGGCACGTGACGTCATCGCTGCGTCCTCTGTTCATAACGTTTACCGAAGTTTCCAGTTACACAAAAGCATACGATGCAAGATCTCCATTCTGTGTGCACATCCGTCACTTCTAAGCATTAGGCTCAATAAGGCTTCGTTATATGATACTGGCCGGGCAGCATTTCTGAGACAAGGAGAAAAGGTGATGCCGTCTTTGTGACGTGTCGAGCCTCGGCCAATCAGTGTTGAGATGTCTGCAGTGTCTTCATTTCCCTCCAACTTTTCATCCTTACTCTCGCGAGTATGAAATATTCAGCGAGGTTCAAGTGGATTTGTATCTGTTATAGTACGGCTCAGTAGTACCACTGTAACACTGCCAGTTCAACATTTTATGAGACGGGAATATTTTGTGTGGCTGTAATATGATCGATGGGGAGAGGCATCGGTACATTTTGTCATGGCTACTTTCAACATATAGCTGTGGGTAGACTGAGCGTTTTCAGACCAGGCTTTTGCACCAGACGTACATTGAGGCGATTTCAAATAGGTCACAGGTGTTACACCGCAACGTCCGAAACATGTTGGGGTTTAGTCTTTTTCCTAAAGTGACCAATCGCCCGTCTCCGATCGGGCCACAAGTGTAAACGTGTTCAAAGGGCGGAATGTCAAGCTAAGACGCTCTGTCCACTTCTCTCTCATCACTCCTTTTCTCCATCTGCCAGGTGCTGCAGCTGTGATTATGCCACCACCAACATGAACAGTTTAAAGGGCCACATGAGGAGGCACCCTCAGGAGCACCAGGCCGTGCAGCTGCTGGAGCAGTACAGGTGAGAGAACCTCAAATAACAGTCCCTCACAGAGAGAAATGATAAGAGAGACTACTGAACCTCTGAAGTGAGAATGGAGAGCTGCACGTCGCCAAAAAGAATACTGCGTTTGGTATCAGTCCGTGTGGATCTGCACTCGTGGTCCTCGCAGCCTGGAAGGTTGAGAAATGGTTGCGTGATTGCAAAGCTGCTGGATGGGGGAAGTGCTTTGTCATTATGCTAATGACTTAGCTGATTTCCACTTGAATGAGTGCTTGTTCGGTGTCATCAGGATGCCCATGTTTCCAGATGGATGTTCTCCTTTGTCTGCATGGGGCTAAAGTTACTAACTATTGCATTATGCAGAAAGCAAATTCGAGAGACCCATTTAAAAAGAATCCTTAATTGAAAGTTACTTTTTCACCAGTAGCTTAGTTTATGTGGTGCAGCGTTGTACCTTTTTAGTTCTTATATTGACACTGGTTTTAAAGAGTAACTTTTCTTTTGGTAGACACGATGATGTGTTTTGTAGCTGCAGGCACAATATATCTGCCAACACGGAGATTGTTTTATCTCAAAGTTGCCTTAGAAAAACACTCTGGTTACCAATAACCAGCATTGCTGTGTGAGTCCGGCTCCCCCTTCACCTGGAGGACAGCAGCTTGTTACCTGTTGTCTTGTCTTCAGAGCTCCTGTCTGCTCTCCTCCAGGAGCTGCTGCACCTGAATTGGTGTGAGGTGAAGATGGGATTAGGATGAGAAACGCGCCACTCAATCGCACATTTGTCTCTCCAGCATCGTCGCGTCTTTGCATAGACTCTGTATGTAAACGTACCATTACTCTTCTTGTGAGCTGTACCCAGCATGCAGTTTGGCAGGGTCATTTTTATAAATTCCTCTCAAATGATTAATGTTACAAATCGTTTATGTGTCACAAGCTGTTGAGTCGTGAAGTTTACCCTGTTAAAGAGTGTTTGTCGTGGGTTATTTATTGTCATTCTGAAGTTATAACCATGACTCAATCTCAACACACATAAGACGAGTAGCTGCGTCCGCTGCTCCGTCTGCGATGACTTGTCAAAATGAAATTCTGCCGCCTGCCGAAGAGCAACGTCAGTTGTCTTGGCGTAACAGTACGTGAGAAATTCATACCCACGTGCCGCCCGGCCCTGAGCTAAACTATTAAGAACATCTTCTCTTTCTCTCTGAATCCTCAAATCCTCATTTCCTCGCTCCGCTCTCCCCATCCTGCAAACCCCAGGGTGCCTGCAGACTTCCTAGTCTGGACTCGTCCCCTGGATCGGAAGCAGGAGATTAATACAGCAAACGTTACATCCAATCACGCTGCTGCTCATCTTCTCTCCTTTGTGCTTCTTGCAGATGCTCCCTGTGTGGTTATGTCTGCAGTCATCCCCCGTCCCTCAAATCCCACATGTGGAAGCACGCCGGAGACCAGAATTACAACTACGAGCAAGTTAACAAAGCCATTAACGAGGCCATCTCCCAGAGCAGCCGGTACGTACTTTCCTTTCTGTGTTCCACAGTATTTGCACAACACTGTTGCTGAAGGAAAAGACTGCGTGATGTTTGTTACAGTGAAAGCCCCAAAATGTATCGGTCATGTCAGTTGTACAGCTCCTAAAATATTTAGCTTGTGTGGCCTTTTAATCACTTCAAATTGTTGGATTTCTTTTTAAACACTTGTACTGGCAGGCTCTTAAAAAAATTATATCTTGAAGTAGCTGAAACTTCTTTTTTTTTTTTTTTACAGTATATTGAGTCCACCAGAGTGATTTCCTGAATCAATTCCAATTTAATTCCAATGCCATTAGGGCAGGGGTGTCAAACTCATTTTAGGTTTGGGCCAGATACTTCCCACTTTTCATCTCAAGTGGGCCAACGGGGGGGTGGGGTGGGGCGGGGGGGTTAGGCTCCCTCACAAAGTGCGACCACCAGTGCACTTTAAGAATAGCAGCTATTATAGAAATGCAATTTATGTCTTCTTGTAATTCTCACAATGGCAAATTCATCTGGCGGGCCTTGAGTTTGACACCTGTACATTAGGTTAACACTACTATCATTGGTTAGATATGCAAGTCAGAGAACTAATGATGTGACTAGTAAAGACAACCATCAAACCTGGTGAACCAAAGCAGTGACAATTTTTTTCTGGTTCATGGTTTTCCGAAGAAAATATAACATTTTACATTTTGAAAGGTTGTACTTCAACATAAGTTCATTCATCACTGCTGACACAGCTGTCTCACATACACATAATGCATCATGGGGAGAATCGATTATTCTCTTATGCAACCAACTTTATTCTAGGGCTGTCAATGGAATAGAAAATCTCCCATTTTGTTCTACTACATCTTATAAATGAATGAGTAATCCCTCTGGGAAGCGTGTATATGAGACACTGTTGTATAATTGTATTTTTTTTAACGCAAAACTAGACTCATTTCACCATTTGGGAGGCATTCCTCAGTTCCCCTGCATGTTTTACTTCTAATGCAAAAAGCTCTCCATCAACTGCAGCACTGGCGTTTTTATGTCCGGGTCAACGCACCCCGGATGTAAACAAAGTTGTGTTAACTGCGTTTCATAGGTGTTAACTTTGACAGTCCTACTTTATACATCCAACAGATGTCCGTCCATCCATCCATCCATCCATCTTCAAGCCGCTCATTCTGCACACAGTCAATCCCAGCTAACTTGACTGGTGGCCGCCAATCGCAACACAGAGACAAACAACCATTCACGCTCACATCCACACACACCTACGGGCAATTTAGAGTCCTCAATTCACCGATCCAACAGATGTTGAAAAACAAAAATAGTACTGAGGCAATTTGACACTTTCACAGGCCACCAGCATTTGAACCGCCCCCCCTGTGGTGGTGGTGGTGGTGTTTCTTTCTTGTCGGTAACTCCAATGTGTGATTCTTCCTCAGAGCTCCTCAGAAGTCGGTGGCGGTGCTGGAGCCGGTGGCAGAGCGCCCCGCGGGGGCTCAGCCCTCTACGGACAAAGCCCAGGGCCCGGTGGAGCCGGCGACTCCCAGCGTGGCTGTGGACGGCTCGGCGGGCTCCCCCACGGACACCTCACAGAGGCCCGGCGGCTCCCAAAGCCCCCAGGGGAAGGACCACGCGCGGCCCCAGAGCCGGCCGCGCACCAGCCAGACCCCCGCTCAGGGCCCCCCCATGGAATACTGCGTGCTCCTGTTCTGCTGCTGCATCTGCGGCTTCGAGTCCACCAGCAAAGAGCGGCTGATGGAGCACATGAAGGAACACGAGGGGGACATAATCAGCATCATCCTCAACAGGGAGCAGCAGCAGCAAGCAGAAGCACAAACAGCCGAGTGAGACCCCAACACCCCCACCCGCCGCCCCCTCCCCTTTTTATATTAACACTGACAACACTGCAATATCACAATGAGCTGCTGCTCACTGAAGTCATTTCATGAGGTCTATGGAGGTGTAAACATTTCACGTCTGCTGTGTGTCCTCTGGTCACATCAAGGGCTCGAGGCCGGTGGCTGAGCGTAATAAAAAAAAAAAAAGAAAGAAATATCGTATCTCGAATGGGTTGAAATCATAGACGCAAAATGTGTCAATAAGGAAGGGACTTAAGGGAGTTTTCAAGGGACAAGCCCGGGCTCAAACCAGGTTTATTTTTCAATACACAGGGACAAGTTCATACCTCACGACAACCACACGACCCCTCACCAGAAATGGAAACAAAAAACATATTTTCCAGTCTAATTCGCATGCATTGACCGTAAGGCAGCTCTTTATTGCTACTGTAATATTTCTGTATTTTAGTTTGTAAACTAGTTCAGGAGACCCACGCAAACTCACTGATGCCTAAAGGCTTGTATCGTTTTAATTATCAGTTTTTTATTTTTGTATGCATGTTTCCGTTCATACCAAGTTATAGCAGTAAATGTTATTAATTATTCTTTGCATTGCTCTTGTACGAGTTTGTTTCATTTTAATGTAGTGTGTTTGGAGGAGGCGGTTCTCTACTCAGAGGGGATCGATTGTAGGGGCGACCAAGTGTTGGTTGTAAGGGCGCGTTGACGAAAGGACCGATGAAAATGGAAGGATGAGCGGCGCCTCCACTTTTAAAAGCAGTAATGTGGTGTTCCTTGTGATCATGATGCTAGAAGTCATTGAAGCAGGGGTCTCAAACTCAAATCAGGTGCAGCCCACCTCGACCCAACGCGGGCCAGACCATTACGGTCGACGGGGGGGGTGGCGGCGGCGCTGATGCTGGTGCGACCGGCGAACGGTACGGTCAACGGGGTGGGGTACGCCAAAGTCGGTACCCCCCCCAGCGGGCCGCACCGGACCCCCCGGTTGGCCGGAGTTTGACACCCCTGCATTAAAGGACAAAGCCGCTTGGTTTTAGTCCATGAAATTGATGCTGTATATAGCAACATTTTTTACACTTTTGCTCCTTGTTTATTAAAAACATATTTTCTAGTGTCCAGGCAAATATGAAAGACACGGACAACATGGATGTGGGTTTATCGGCACCCGGTCCCACCAAGTGCTCTAATGTGGGAGGCTGAGAGAGTGACGTTATGAGGGTAAAGCTTAACGTGCAGGTAGCATGTTGCTATTTCTTGAAAGGAAAAAAATGTAGACGTGACAATCTATTCACCAAGATGGGTTTTAGGAACAACCAAAATGATGTCTCTTTTGAAAAGTCAGTCATTTTTCAGTAACCCTAACCCCACCGTGCTGAAGTCTGAGGTTAAAAACACCAAAGTCACACAATAAGAAGAAACCGTTTTTATTGCCAAGTATTATTATATACAGGAAATCGTTAATTTATCCCGTCCCACACAGTGGGGGAGGAGCAGTGTGCTGCCGTAAAGGCGCCAGGGGAGCGGTTAGCGGTTGGGTGTCTTGCTCAGGGACACTTCGACATGGGAGCAGCCAGGGTTCGAACCTCCAACCCTGTGGTTTCCGGCACACCCCCTCTACTCTGTGCGCCACGCTCACCCCAAAGCTTTTTTCAGAAGTGGGATATGAAGAACAAGCTGACCGAGGCAGAGACCCATCAGCAAGGCTCATGTTCTGTGAGGTGAACCTTTCTGCCGGCGACGTGTAGAAAACTACTTCTAAAAAGCTCCCGCTGTCACATTGTGTAGGTGTTCCTGCGGTCATGTTGACCACTATGGTAGTGACACACTGACCATGGATAAGAACCCCACACAACGCCGCTTAAAACATGCACCCTGTCCCCGTAATGTTGAATCATGCCACATTAGTTGGTAGTCGATCACATGTCAGTCGCTCACCAGTGTGACCAGACTGCGGTATCATTAGGATCAAATGGATTATCCATAAACCACAAACCCTGTCTGCAGCGAAAACAACAACGTGATCGCTACGGTGGATCAAACTGATCAAATTGGTGTATCTCAGCCTCTCCAGCCCCCTAAACACAACAGAAGACGTCATTGTGTCATAAATGACACTTTCAATTATTTTTAAACAAAGACATTTTAAGTTTGACAATGTAGGTCTTAGAGGTCGCTGTAACGAGCCCTAAATATGTGCTTTACTGAATTACTACACTTCAGGAGTCTTTCCGGTGCCACTGTATGACATATTTTTTCTTGTTATTTGGTGTTTTCATGAGTTGTTCACAAGGATTAATTTGGAGGGCACATTTTTATCAGAAAAAAAAATAGCCTCTAAGTCGTAATAATTTCATTGGACTCTGATTGTACAACACATGTGTTGATTGGGAATAATACAAACCAAGCAGCGCAGCGTGTGTCTGATGAGTTGTGATTACAACTGAGCTTTTGGGATAGTTCAAGTGAAACACAATCATTCTCAGAAATGGTGAATACAAAGAAAAAAACCTTGTTGGACATTGGAAATGTGAATGTAAGTTCCTTTTGGTGTCGCAAACACAGGCGGCATTTTCAGATTGTTTCCTTCAGTCCGTCTTATTTACACCACAAATAAGAACTCGTTTTGTGCCACATTAGGTTTATTTGTAGGCAAATCATTTATTGTGCCTTTTGGATACATTTGGGTTTTGAAACTAGAACTATTTTGCCAAAAGCTTCAGTCGCATATATTAAGACATTGATCCAAATTCATATTTGGCCACAGCCAGTAGTATTGAAGTGTATTTATTTATTGTGTCATCCCACTTTTTTCCATATAATGGTGACATTCAGAGTTTGGGATACAGAAACAACAATAAACCAACGTTATGAACCAGCTCTTTATTTTTCTAATTGCTAGCTATTTTAACCTATTAATGAGCTCAAATAGTTTCCTAATGTCAGTTTGTACATATTGTAGCTCATTACTGCAGAACCTTGGAACTGACCTTTTTTTTAAAGAACTTATATTTTTTAATGACCTTGTAAAAGAATAAAACAACTGAGACAAAAACTAGATTTCTGCTGTGTTGTCATCTCATTCCGGTCAGAGAATGAGCATCTGAACCAAAGGGGGAAGAAAATGTCCGTCCTGATTACTTTTGCTCATATTTAATTTTGTACTGAGGTTCAACATGGAATTGTTTGAGACAGCAGTGTGACGCTTGCTTTATGTTTATTTATTTTTAGAACATCATAGGCAGTATTATGTCACCACTTTGCCATTGTATTTTTTCTAATAAAGACTGAGAAGTACATGACTCCTTTTTGTCTTTGGTTGTGTTCGTGAGATGATAGAATATCTCTAAAGGTTTAGAATCCGCAGACAAAATATTTCACTATCAATGTAAGAAAATAAAACCTGTATGTACAAATATAGTTATCAAAGGCAAGCTGTTTGCAAGGTTACATTTGAGTTAAATTAGTTGGTATTTGAGTTTTTAGAAACACAGAAGGAGAATACCGTTTCCATCTGCATTTTATACGTTTTTCGGCTTAAGGCTTTTACTGTCATGCGCAGCAGGTGTCTAGTCGAGAAGGACAGCTGGTGATGCAAGCAGGACGTCCCCCCGTAGGCCAGACTGTCCCGTCACAGGGACCCTTGGTTCTATGCGCTTGATGGAGGAGCCAGCCCGGGTCGGCTGTGAAGGTCCTCATGAGGATGCTGGGAGAATGAGGTCCGCGGCAGTAGGAATAACCTATAGTTCCAACTATACTTCTAAGTATATTGTCTCTGAAGCAGTTCATGAAGAATGCATTTTGTAGTCTCTAGTTAAGCATCTTTGAAATGTAGAACAATCCCCTCAGGAAGGAGTGAGAGGAATTATTTTAGTATGATAACCAATGCAGCTTTTACACATCATTTTACCCAATAACCCACATTATTGTAAAATGACTTACTACTGTGGGTGCACTTCTTGTTGGATCGAAGCAAGGCAGACACATGGGAGCAAATGATGAGCAGAAGTACTAGTTAGAGTTTTTTCTCAAGCTTTGATTTATGTATTGCATCCCAGCCGGTCTGTCTTGTGTACTTGTTCTTGTCTTTACTTAAGTAGCTTTGAAACAGTGTCAATGATTCTAGAATCACCGACAGTGCAAACAACAACAAAGTGCTGATTCAATGGCCTAATGGAAAGTAATACAAGAGGATCGGAGAGGGAAAAACAGTTTCCTAGGAATGTTAGGAACAAATTTAGAAATCCATACATCGTTTTCTTATTCAAATCAAACACAGGCCTTTATATTTTTGCTTTTCCAAATAATTTAATATTAAATACAAAAACGAAATCCTCAGCTGCTTTGACGTAAAAACCTGACTGCACAAGCAGAAGAAAATTCATCTTAGGCCGAGAAAGAACCGGAGCAACAGAGTAGTTTGAGATATTCTAGAATCAATGGACAAACTTTTAACTTGATGCTTAATTCCAAGATCCCCTCCCTCCATGAACCTTGTTTTTCGTTACAGTGAGTGGAGAAAGGAAGAGGAGACTTGATCCTTTGCTTGCTAATGGGGCACCATTTGGGCACACCGGGAGAGCCGGGCGTTGCCTTTAATGGGCCGTCGTCCATCAGTGGCACTCCCTCACTCGGGATCACGAGTCTTGGAGAAATGAAAGAAGGGAGGAGAGAACTAAGGTCAAATTGGACCGGGTGCAAGTGTGTCCACGGGGAAATGATGGGAGACTTTAACTGGACAGAGGCGGAGAGAATGGCCATTAAACAATCGGTTTTCTTCTCCAGTAATCTTTCTTTCCAGCAGGAGTCAAGACAATTTGTTTTCCTAAATCTCTTTTGATAAACTCCAGGTCTTTTATGTCATGCCCTCCTAGTCACACAATCTCCTTTCCATCTGAATGACCTGAGCGTTTCCCCCCTCGTCGTGTTTGCCGTCTCAGGGCTGCTCGTCTGGGGAGGGTTGAGCTTTTTGTGGATGTGTACAAGTAAGTAAGTAAGTAAGGGGAAATCTGCAAACTTCTTTGGTGGAGAGTACAATAGTTGAAATGGGAACTTTCTGGGATGGCACATTGGTATTGACATTTCTAAATGTGACACTTGTGGGTAATGCCAATGTATGTAGGTGAAGCCAAGAATCCTACTGACAAATATGTCAACCCGAACACATCA